CCTCACACCCCTCTCCGCAGGGCTGCAGGACGCCGCCGAGGACTGGGTGGCCCCCAAGGGCTCGGCCCAGACCCCCGCAGCGCCCCCCGACGGGGCCAACGTGAGCTGCAGCCCCAGGCCTGGGGCTCCAGAAGCTGCGATGGGGGGTGAGGCGGGCGTGCGAGGCGGGAGGGAGCTTGGGGAGCGGCCCCTTCCAAGCCCTGTCCTCACTGCACCCGTGTGCCCACAGCCCGGGTCTTCTCGACGGTGACGGCCGTCTCAGTGCTGCTGCTGCTGCTGCTGTCGGTGCTGCGCCTGCTGCGCCGACGGTGCGCGCGCTGGGGCAGGGCTGGAGGGCGGACCCAGCCCGGGACCTGACGCCTCGGTGCCCTGGGGCGCGGGGTTCCTGGTGGAAAGCTGGGGCCCATGAGGGGAACGGGGCTGGGAGGAACTCCTGGGTTCTTGAGGGACAAGGCCTTGGGTCCACACGGGGCATCTCGCACGGGATCACAGGCAATGTAGGATGCCGGAGATGAGATTGGTTGGGGGTTCGGCTGACCTCTGCTCCCTCTTTAGGAGCTGTCTGCTGGCTCCAGGAAAAGGGGCCCCCGCGTTGGGTCCTTCCCGAGGCCCTGGGAGAAGCTTGGCCGTGTGGTACCGCCGGCCTCGAGGGGTGGCCCTGCCCTGCCCCCCCGGGGACCCCCAGGCTGAGGGTCTAGCCGCGAGTTACCGGCCCCTGAGCGCCTCCAGCCAGAGTTCCCTGCGCTCACTCATCTCTGCTCTCTGACTCGGGACCCCCAGGGTCCACTGAACCCTCCGCCGGCGGGATGGACACCTGAGACGCTATGCCGCACTCGGCCTTTGGTCACCTCGTGGAGGACAGACATCAAACAGGAAGTATCTGGTGTTATTATTGGGAACTTGGCCTGATCCTCGGAGTCCAGATGGACAAGGCCAAAGGGCAAGAGGAATCCGGTTACCCTCCTCATAGACCTTAATATGGGGGTCTCTGATTTCACGGGTCTTTGAGACCCTCTTGGGGGTGGTCCTGGACTGCTGCCCTAAGTGAAATGTGAGAGGTCAACAAAAGTGGTCAAAAGACCAGCCATGGACTTTGAATAAAGGACCTATTTTGGTATAGGGCTCCGCCAAGTTCTTACATGATGGGAAGGGCTATGTTAATAAGGGTACGGGAGCCAAGGGTTGGGTGTGTCCATGCAAATTAAGGACATTCCAAGCAAAGAGTTTCTCGGACGCCCGTGGAATGCAAAGGACTGAGGGACTCCGGAGGCGGAAGGATGGGTGGGCGGGTCCTGGAGAAGGGAGGAGGAGGAGGCCGGTTGTGGGCGGGGTTAAGCACAAAACAGGATGCCTTTCTGGGCCCTCCTTAGGATGAATCTGGGCGGGGACTGAACTTTCTCCCCTGGCTCTTTCTCTTCATTTTCTGCCTGTCCTGGTTGGTGCCGAAGATGCGCCTTGTGGGCAATAACGGAACGAGTTCGGCCGAACCCAAGCTCGAAGAAGCCTGGCCCGAAGGGCAGAGCTTCGCCCGAGGGCGCTGGGTGCGTCAGGCACACCTGTAGAGGCCCGGGCATCTCAGCGCGCCTTCCTGCGCTCCGGAGGAGTCGGGCCGGTGGGCAGATCACCCCTGGAGTAGGGGAGCGCCGGCTCTAGACCTGACCCGTCCAAACGTCCCGGGCCGGCAGCACCTTGGACAGAGACCGGGCTGCGGGGTGGGGCTGGGTGGTGGGGCTGTGCCCTAGAGGCTGAGTGCCCAGGGGTGCGTCGACGTGGGGGTCGTGCGGAAAGCCCGGACGCGCCCTGTGGGGGAACGCGAGGCGCCGGGGTCACTCTGGCAGAGCCACCGGGACCTAGAACGTCGGGTCCCAAGCCAACAGTCACCCCATGCAAACGAGGCTGGGACCGTATAGATTATGCTAAGAGAGTGAAGGCCTGGGCGGCCGCGGGGCGGGGCCTCCCCGCCGGCCGGGCCCATTGGCCCTCGCAGCGTCGACGTCAGGAGCCCAGCGCGCGAAACGCTGGCAGGATGGCGGGGGCGAGCAGCTGGGGCGGAGCCTGGCGTCCCCGCCCTCCCGCGTTCTGCCGCGCCCTTGTCCCGGGCGGCAGAGGGACCACTGGCCGCCGCCGCCGCCGCCGCCGCCGCCGCGAGCTGTCCCTGTGGCGTGTCTGCCTCGGCGGAGCCGGCCGCGCTGCGCTCGGGCGCCGGCCTCGTTCCCAGCCTCCGACTCCGGGGCGCGCGGCCCGCGCGTGCGCAGCGCAGGAGGGGCGCAGGCCGGGACCCCCGGGCCGGCGCGTGCGCGGACCAAGCACTGGGCGGCTGGCGGGCCCCGAGATGAGCCTCCGGGTGCTGCGGCCCCAGTGAGGAGGAGGCCCGGGGGCAAGAGGAGCTGGGGCCGCCAACGCCGTGCCGGGCCAGGCCATGGCGTTCCTGGCGGGACCGCGCCTGGTGGACTGGGCCAGCTCGCCACCGCACCTGCAGTTCAACAAGTTCGTGCTGACAGGCTACCGGCCAGCCAGCAGCGGCTCGGGCTGCCTGCGCAGCCTCTTCTACCTGCACAACGAGCTGGGCAACATCTACACGCACGGTGAGCCGCTCCCCGCATCCCACTCCCGCGGCAGCCCTGCCCGCGCCGGGCGGGGGTCCCGAAGGCCGAGGAGCGCTCCAGCGCCCAGGTCCTGCCCCGGCCCTGGCACGGCCGGGAACCGCGGTGACAAAGCTGCCATTGTCCCGGACGGCGCTGCCAGTTTCCGCTCTCCCTGCGGGGCCCCGGGGCAGGCGAGGGAAGCAGAGTCGGCGACCAAGTCCGCTTAATCCCTCTGAGCCCTGGGGAGGAGGAGCCTGGTGTCCGGCCACCTCGTAATCCCGGCGCCCTGGGCACCCTCCCCCGCCAGCACCCTTCCCGGAGATGAGTGTTGACATCGGCCAGTAGGGGCCCAGAAGGAGAAGCCAGGCTCCGGCCCCTCCTCGCGCGGCCGTCCTGTCGCCCCCGCCCCGAGTAGCCCATGCGCAGGGCTCCGCCTGGTGGCGACTCCTTCCTCCCCCCCGCAGGCGCCGGGCCCCTCCTCGCGCCCCGCCGAGCTTTGCTGACACAGCCCTGCCCGTCCTTGGCCTGCCCCAGCAGAGAGAGGGGCCCTGAGCGAGCTGGGCCCAGCCTTGGCACTTGCTCCACTGGGTGACTGTGGCCTGCCCAGACTCTTCCAAGAGTGGGCAGCCAGCAGCCCCAGACTGCTGTGCCTGCCTTGGACCCCTGTGAGGGCAATGCCAGAGTGCCAGCGGGAAAGGGTAGGCATCTGGAGGGCTGGGGCTAGGAGGAATGGAGCTCCCGAGGAGGTGCCTGAGGAGATTGAACAAGCTCTTTTCAGCCCCCTTCCCCTGCCTGGCCTCACCTCTTTCTGGAAGACAAAAAGGCCCAAAGCCTCCGTTTGGTCACTTGTAGAGAGGAGAAGACATAGAGTTTTGGCAGGCAAGCTAAGTGGCTCTGGAATCTGGTATCATTGCCCACATATGCTGTTCAGAACTCAGCTTCAGGTCACGCCTCCTTGTGGCTTCTACTGACACACTGAGGCCGGGTTCGGGGTTGGGGACCCCTGCTTTTGGGGGACGTGATGTGGCTGCAGGGGTGAGAGCAGCTGGGGAGCTAGACTGCCCGAGCTCTGTGCTGCTTTCATCACTTACTTGCTGGAGTCACCTGGAGCAGGTTACTCAGTGTCCTCACTTGCAAAGTGGGCACAGTGGTCTCTACTTCCCAGAACATTGTGAGCTCTGCCAAGTAAGTTACAGAGAGCCCAGGGCCGGCCTCTGTCCAGGCCTGGCCGAGTCAGCTAACAGCGTTGTCAAGACCTGCCTTGCTCTCAGCCCTCGTGTTGTCTCCAGACTGTGGACTCCTTGAGGACATGACTTGTCCCCAGTACTGAAGCGCTCTCACGGGTCACTATCTCCCTCCCCCAGGTCTGGCCCTGCTGGGCTTCCTGGTGCTACTGCCAATGACCATGCCCTGGGGTCAGCTGGGCAAGGATGGCTGGCTGGGGGGCACACACTGTGTGGCCTGCCTGGCACCCCATGCAGGCTCTGTGCTCTATCACCTCTTCATGTGCCACCAAGGGGGCAGCCCTGTGTACACTCGGCTCCTTGCCCTGGATATGTGTGGAGTCTGCCTCGTCAACACCCTTGGTGAGCCAAGGGATGGGGTGGGGGGCTCGAAGGATGGGAACTGGGGGGCGACTGGGGAGGGGGAGACAGGGGACGCTCACACGAGCGCTGGGTAAAGAGGGCAGGCCAACCCTAGACTGATGTTCCCTCTCCTGCTTCTCTCCTCTGTGCAGGGGCCCTGCCCATCATCCACTGCACCCTGGCCTGCAGGCCCTGGCTGCGCCCTGCTGCCCTGGTGGGCTACACCGTGCTGTCAGGTGTGGCTGGCTGGTGGGCCCTTACAGCCCCCTCCACCAGTGCCCGGCTCCGTGCCTTTGGTTGGCAGGCTGGTGCCCGCCTCCTGGTGTTCGGGGCCCGGGGAGTGGGGCTGGGCTCCGGGGCTCCTGGCTCCCTGCCCTGCTACCTGCGCATGGACGCGCTGGCACTGCTTGGGGGGCTGGTGAACGTGGCCCGCCTGCCAGAGCGCTGGAGACCTGGCCGCTTCGACTACTGGGGCAACTCACACCAGATCATGCACCTGCTCAGTGTGGGCTCCATTCTCCAGCTGCACGCCGGCGTCGTGCCTGACCTGCTCTGGGCTGCCCACCACACCTGCCCCCCAGACTGAGCCACCCCCTACCCGCCAGGCCAGCCTGCCCAGTTTTCTAGGGCCAACACCATACTTCCCTCCTGCTGGTCCACAAGGAGCTGGCTCCCGGGATGTTTCCAGCAAACAGGACTTCCCAGCTGGGAGCCTGTTCATCCATTCTTCCCTGTGGACTAGTCTCTTCTACCCCCACCTTAGAACTCCAGCCTCCCCTCCCCGCTTTCCTCCAGGGTACTGTCTTCCTATGGAGGCTGGAAGGAAACTTTTCCTTCTCTAGACCTCAGTTTACCCTCTATGACCTGTGAGGGTTGGGCCAGAGGAACTCTGGGCTCATGTCTCGCTCTGACAGTTGGAATCCTGCCAGCCTAGATCCATCACTCCACCCTGCCCCTCCTCAGACCCTCCCATGAGGTATCTTGTGAGTGCCAGGCCCAGCCTCCAGCCCATGCTTCCTGACCTCCATCTTTCTGCCCTGTAGGCCAGCCCTCCCAGCAGCCTGAGGCTCGCCCAACCCTTCTGCCTTCTGTCCAGAGACTATGGAGGGAGGGGTTTGGGCAGCAGGACTAGCCCCTTATCCCAGGACCAGTTTCTTTCCAGGCAACTGGCACAGAGATGTAGAGCTGAGCAGCCCTGAACTTGGGCCCTGCTGGGCTGAGGGCCCACCCTCCACCTTGAGTGCCACACTGACAGCTCGACCTGCCCCCCGGGGCCGCGCCTGCTCAGGAAGTCTCTGCTCCACACGGTGTGCGGCTCCCAGCTGCAGTCTGCTGGCCTGGGGCCTGGGCCCTGCAGCAGGGCTCAGCCTTGGCCCATCCTGGAGGCTTCAGATCCTGGGCAACATCAGTAAAAGGGGAAGGAGGCGCTGTGTTGCCACACAAGCAACTTGGGTGCTCCCAAGATTCAAATACTTTTTATTAGACATGGCCAGGCAGAAGGGACCACTGGAGCTCCCAGAGGGACCCAAGCCTCTGGGAGGATGGGAGAAGGAGTAAGAGGTTAAAAGCACGGAGCCTGGGCCCATGGGCTCAGGTTGGGCCCAGTGAGTCCTCAAATAGGCTGAGGAGGTTCCGAGGCTCAAAGGAGGGGAAGGAGCCCCGAGGGGGCTCGGAGTCAGTGTCACTTAGGTCCAGGGCATCCCTGGAGGGAAAGGGGGAGAAATGACATTCAGGATCTGAAAGCTGCTCCCTCCCGCCCCCGGACTCAGCCTGCTTACCTCAGCATGTACCTGCTCCGGGGGGCAGGGGAGCCACTGCAGGGGGTGGAGGTGGTCCCAGCAGCCCTGGCCAGGATGGCCTCTGGAAAGAGTGAGGGCCTGCACACGGGGTGGGAAGACAAGCAGGGTGTCAAGCGATGGGGAGCGCACAGGGAGGCCGCAGCTGCGGGGAGCAGCAAGACCCACCTGGTCCCCGTGTGCTCCAGGTTCCCACCTGCCACGGGCGGGGGCCACAGTCAGGGACAGTGCAAGTGTGGTGCACTGTCACAACTCTCACAGGCTACCTCTGTCCCTTTTCAGAACACATGGGTGTCGACTGAGCCCGCTTTGACCTGAACTTGTGGTAAATGAAGCTTGTTTGGCACTTCGTGTCTGCTATAAAGTGGCCCCTGTGTTGACAGGGTGACATTTCCTAAGGCAGCGGTTAATGGTGCAAGTCCCCCTGAGAACCGTCTGCCCCAAGCATGTGGTTTCCCTTTGCAGCAGTTTCTTAATTACAGCCTCTCACGTGGCCACCAGGCACCTGGGACTAAGGAATTCCTGGGGCTGGGGAGGGCGGCTTGCCAGGCTCTGGGGGTTTTGTCCCCCAAGAGGAAGGACAAGGCCTTGTCCTCGGGCACTGGCAGCCTCTACTGAGGTGGGTGCGGGGCCCTCGCGCTGCTCTCTGTGTGACAGCTCCTAAGTGTGAAGCTGCCAGCTCTGCTTGGCTCTGCACAGCAGCTGTCCCACACGCTGAGCTTAGAAGAAACAGCTGCATTCAAACTAGGCCAGGCAGCACCAGCCTTGGTTCCCTTCCCGGGGCGTGATGGGGGCCAGGTCTGTGGGAGGAGTCCCGGTTTACCACTAATCCCCATGGGGCCTGGGCCTCGGGTGTGGAGTCTGGCCACGATGCCAGTCCATCTCCCCCGACTCCGTCCACATCTCACCCACCCTATGCTGTCGTCATCCCAGTTGCTGGAAAGGCTGCTGTCCAGGAGGAGGCTGCAGGGCGGTGAGCCAGGCGGAGTGGCTGGCGGGCCCGGAGGCTGCAGCCAGCTGGCAGGGTGAGCCAGCCCATGCCAGAGCCAGCACAGCAGGGCCAGCAGGGCCTGTGGGGACAGGGGGCCAAGGGAGGCTGGGTAGACCCTGGGGCTGGGAGCAGGGTGGGACAGTCTGTCACCTTTGCCCAGCTTACCTGCCACAGAGCCCACCCTCGACTCAGGGCTTCAGCAGCCATGCACCAGAGGATGCTCCAGGGCCGCCGCTGCCTGAGCATAGGCAGGGCCAGCAGGGCCTCGGTTGTGGCCCGCAGCTTGGGGTCAGGCTCCAGCATCATGACGAGGACAGAACGCAGCTCAGAAGACAGGCCTGTCCACAGGGCAGGGCCACATCAGGGGTGACTGGGCCCTGAGCCCAGTAGTCCACCACTGCCAGCCGTTCCCTCTCATAGGAGCCTGCCCTTCCTGCGGCAGCATGTCCTGCCCATCCTTGCCCCCACTCACTGGCAGTGAACTCAGGAGGCAGGTAGCCCTGGCGCAGCTGCTGCCAGCCCTTTCCGCCATGGGGCAGCTCCATGTTGCACGCCACTTCCAGGATGGTGAGACCCAGACTGGGAGGGACGGAGACAAGGACAGAAGAGGAGCAGGGTTGGCCTCAGGATATAGACCCCAGAGCCCCAGGCTGCCCCCAAGAAGAGGGTGGGAAAGGACTGTTGTCTTCTACCCTGAGCTGGGAAGGAGGGGCTGAGGACCCTGAAAACGCCCCTGCAGGGCCAACGATGGGGACCACATCATGGTCCATGGACCCCATGCCTGGCGCAGCCCATACGCCACCATGGTGAGTCCTCCTGGCACCCCCCACTGGACAGTTACTGTGGCTAATGTGGTTACTAGTGTTCTAGCTGGTATGGCTGTTAGAGGCACAGCAGTGGTTACCAGCATGGACCACGGAACCCTGCTCCACCACAGGCTAACTGGGAACTTGAGGCAAGTCCCTTGACCCCACTGTGCCCAGTCCCCTGAAATTGGGGTAATAATAGTGCCTCCTATGGAGGCGTGGTGATATGGGTGAATCCACATAAAGCGGCTCCAGAGGGTTTGCTGATTAGACTGGCTGACTCTGCAGACCCCCCTCAACTAGAGGTGGGGCTGCTACCCCCTTGGGGCAGGGTCTCCCAGCCTGAGGCCAAGTCTTCCTGACTTTAGTCTAGGATAGTGCTTCCCTCCTTCTGCTGATTACCGCTCCTCCCCCTGCCACGAAGGGCTTCCCACGTTCCAGCCCTCACCTGAACACATCCGCCGCTGTCCCGTAGGAACCCTGTAGCAGCTCAGGGGCCATGTAGCGGGGGTCTCCCTCCTGGGCCTCGCCAGCTCCGGACGCACCCAGCTCCACCAGCAGCCCAAAGTCACCCAGCTTGCAGCGGCCCTGGGGCCCCAGGAAGATGTTGGCAGGCTTGACATCAAGGTGGACCAGGCCTTGGCCATGCAGGTGGGCCAGGGCGAGCAGGGTGTCCCGCAGGTAGCCCCAGACCTGGGCCTCGGGCAGGCTGGCGCCCCAGGCCTCACAGTGCTGCTGCAGGCTGGGACCGCACAGCTCCGTCTGCAGGTACAGGATGCCGCCCTCCTCCCAGGCCTGCTCCAGCCGCACGCAGCGCGGGTGCTGCCCCACCTTCTCGTGGCCGCTGACCTCGGCCAGCTTGCGGGCCCGGTCCTTGGGGCCCCGGAATGGTGACATGGAGCGCTTTACTGCATAGAGCCGGCCGTCTTCCTTGGAGCGCACCTGGAAGGGAAGTGGAGCCCGCAGGCAGGGTGGGAGGGGGCACGACCATGTAGGAGGACGATCCAGCAGATTCTATTAATATTTCACATGTGCGAGAGGTGCAGCACAGTCTCTACCTTAGAGAGAGCCTGCACGTGCCACGGCAGAACTGGACACACCTCCACCCCAGGCGCTGGTTCACTGGAGACCCATTATGGGAAGAAGCGGGGCAGACCTCTCAGCACTGAGCCAGGAGGGTCTCTAGGACGCATTACTCAGTGAAAAAAGCTGACTACAGACCGGTACAGGCAGTATGATTGCCGTATAGACTATAAAATGCGTTTGACCATATACAATTTTAGAGATGTATAGAGAAAGGTCTGGAAGGAAGGATGCCCACCTGAGAAGCACAATGGTTACCTCCAAGAAGGAGAGCTAATCAAGGGCCTATGTTCTTTGTACTTTTTAATAGCAAAATTGTCTTCATGTATAAGGAAAACTCCCATTTAAAGGAAATATAAATGATTGGAAAATATACTTTAAGTAAAAAAAAGGCGGCCTGGAGGGTGTAGCCTGAGCGCCTGGCGGCCTGGGGGGTGGCAGGACAGGGTGTACACTGCACTCGGGCTGGCGCCGGGGGCTGGGCAGGGCTCGCCAAGACCCCAGCGCAGCTGGCTCCAGGGTGACGGAGATGGCAGCCAAGAGCTCCCATGCGGCGTGCCAGGCTCTGGACAGAGGGAGAGTGTGCACTGAGGGGGCCCTAGGAGGGGCCTGCGTAGGGGGTTACCAGACAGCAGCCAAGTCAAGCACCGAGGTGGGAAGCCTGTCAGCCCATGAGAGGCGGGCTGCCCAGGACACTGCCCCATCCAGGCAGGGGGAGGGAGGCAAGGCGGGACGCCCAGACAGGCCCAGGGAGCGTCGCCCTACTCACCTTGAAGACTTCTCCATAAGAGCCGCGGCCCAGGCGGCCAAGCCTCTGGAAACTCTGCTGGAAGAAGGACTCTGGCCGGCTCGGGTCGTACCCGGGGCTCTGCAGGGTCTTAGAGGCCTTGCCTCGGAACGACACTCTCCGGGGCTGGTGCTGCTGCCAGCCCGGGGGCCGAGGTGGGAAGAGGCGGCTGAGGGGGATGCTGCCCTTGGCAGGAGGCCGGGGCGGGAGGCTCCGACTGAGGCCCCGGGGCCTCTTGAGGGAGAAGCCGGGTTCTGCATGGCGGAAGTAGGCTGGGACTGGGACAGGAGTGCCACTCAAGGGTGGCGGGGTGCCCTCTGTGGGCACAGGCATGGCCAGCACAGGACGCCCTGGGGGGCAGAGTACAGAATAGTGTGTCCACTCAAACAGTGCCTGGTCCTGTGGCCCCAAAGAGGCTGCAGAAGGGAGCTGCGTCTACTCCGCACACACGTTCTGCTTTAAACATGGAAGCCGTGGGGACGACGAGCACCTGCCGGGAAAACGCAGAGGACAAATACACGCCTGCACACAGCAGCCTGTGCCTTGGAGGTCAGAGACACATCAGCTGGAACCACAGGGCTGGGTCCCGGAGGC